GAAGACTCAGAAAAAATGCACTTTGAACAGGGAACACCCACTAGCAGAGTTAACACCCACACTGAACCACAAAGAAGTGCATTAACTGCCAGAGTACTGACTGAATAGCCAACCTCAGTGGAATAAGGGGTGTTTGTGGAAACACAGTGGTGCAATCCACCAGACACTGATGTTGTGGAGCCTCCATTCACTTCACGTGGGTCTTGCACAGAATCCCACTGAAATGGGCAAGAGTCTGTGAAGTAACTATGTATCAGTGTGGTACGGTGGTTAGACTATCAGACTAGGATCTGGGAGACCTAGGTTCAAATCCCCACTCTTCCATGGAAGCTTGCTGGGTGACCCTGGGCCAGTCACAATCTCTCAGGCTAACCTACCTCGCAGGGTTGTTATGAGGCTTAGATGAAGGAGAAGATAATGGTGGAAGTCACTTTGGGTCCCCATTGGGGAGAAAGGCAGGGTACTAATGAAGTAAATCAATATTTGGTGGTCTGTAGACACAGTAGTTGTTTTAAGAGGACTATCCAACTGAAGTTATCCCAGTGCCCAAGACTACCACTACCACCAGTGAAATCAACACATGTTGATGGACATTTAACTGAAAATTGGTTCCCTTTGCAAAGGAAACATTGCTCCTATATTTACTGTACAGCTTAAAACCAGGAGATGACCAGCAAGCACTTTTATGGCAACAAATTAATAAGATTCTTTTAAAGCAAACTTCCCAGAGAGACTGACCCTTATTTTTACTTGAAAGATGGCCTGTGTTGTGTGGCTGCTTGTGGCTTGATCCAACCACCCAATCCTTTAAAAAAAAACAGGCTAAAACCTGACTTAGGAGAATGTTTCAGGCAGGTTCACTTGTAATAAAAAGGTGCCTGTCACCAACGGAGAAATCCCATCCATTCAAGGTGATTGTCTTTCCTTTATTGTGTTGCGAAGTTTCACCAAGATGTGGCTCCGGTCATTCAAGTGCCATCTCCTTAAGTTGGCTGAAGTACCTTTTCTGAGACACATTATTGAAACTTTTTCTGGAACACACTTCCATCCAGGAATTTCAAACCACGGATATGAAGTCTGCACTCATACTTGGGGAGTAAATCCCATTGAATGTCCAACTTATTCCCAAGGAGATAGTAGGATCAACAGTTTCATAGCAGAGAAAATGATGTCCAAAATGATTTCAAATGAACATAGCAGGCCTGGAGACAGAAATCAGTATAGCAATAACAACTCTCCTGAAGCCACTTCGTTCTTTTCTGAAATCATCTTCCCACTTGAAATAAATCTGGATGTGTATTTCCTTATTGTGTCATAGTAAGAAGTTTGCACAATGAACAGGACTTTGGGCCAAGAAATATTCCAGCCAAAACACATGAAGCATGACCTAGCCAAAGTTAGGGTGTTCCAAGACCCATTGATTTCCAGTTGGAGAGTTAAGCATGTGCTTAATTTTAAGATAGCCTAAAAGAAATTATATTAGCAATAGGAAGCTTAGAAGCCTTTAGGTTACCCTCTCCAGAAAGAACTGGTCCAGAAAAAGCTGAAACTTTCAGTAAATGTGAAATTGCTTGGAACTTTAACTGCTCTTGTGGAATGTCCCAGAGAATCCTGGCATGAATTGCAAGGAAATAAGAAAGTATTCATTCCTCTTGAACAAAGAACTTCTAAAAACAAGCAAAGCCACAGGGAAAGAAGCTGAAGAGAAGCACTTGTTTTGAACAAATTCTGACTGAAAATCTGGTATAATGGAAACAGGAGGCTGCTTACCTTTCAAATGTTAAGCTGAGGTCAAGGAATGGTCAAGCTATACACAGATAGCAGGTTAAGAGGAAGCAGGTTGATGTTAAAAAACATTGAACAGATGGTTGTCACCCCAATAAGGTCCATTTCTTGAGGGAGGTCATGACTGCCATCTCCCATCTGTGACTGGCCAGATAAACCTCTTGGAAGTAAAGGGGAGAAGCAGCTGGCTCTGCAGAGCTGCCAAGGGTTTCCTTGCCACTTATACCTCTGCAGAGAGCTGGTTTTACCCTGGGGCCGAGAGACCTAAAATGTTCCCATTAAATACACAAGAAGGACCCTATGGACTCACCCTGAAAGAAAGGCACACGTACTGAGCAAAGTGACAGCACCAATTTCACTTAGAGAGAACCATGAGGACTGGAGCTTGAAAAAGAAACCTCTAGCATAAGAAAGATTCAGAATACTGAACATCCCTGTGCAGGAAACTTGGAAGAACATCCAAAGAATGTCTCAGCTCACCTTTCCTAAGAACAAAACCAAAGAGAATCTCTTGGACTGACCAAGCTAGGAGCAGGAAGTGAGCAGTCGTTAGCAAGTACTCAAGCACTGCAGGAGAAGTAAAGGGCCAGGAAGGAAAACCCGGCATCCACCTTCACAACCTCCGAGAGTGTTAAAAGACTCTGTGCAACAACAACAAAAAGGGCTTGCTTAAAATACCAGCAGGTGTATAATAAAAGTCCTGCTTCCAACCCACATTCTGTCTTTTGAGGTTTGGACAGACATCCTACAGTTAAGCAAATGGGTTTCAGATTTCTTCATTAACTGTTCAGGGCTTTACAAACCCTACTAAGTCCACAGGAGGTACCTGTGTCCAACACCCTGGTGTTTGGAAGGATATTGAACAGATCAGTAAGGCTAGACTCGTCAGTCCTTGAGAAGAAATAATACCGGTGCTTAAGGATAGAGCTAGAAATGGAGCTTGTGAATTCTAAAGCAGGGGCCTTAGACCAGGAGGACAATGGCATTCTTTTCTGAAATTCAAAATGCTGAAACTTCTTGCTGCATGGAAGCCTTCCAGCTCCCGCTGGGAACTAATCTGTACCAACCACACTTAAGTGCAGCATAACAAACATCTGAATTTTCTTGAATGCTCTGTGCTAGTGATTGAGCTGCAGGGCTATTTGAAACAGTATGAAATAATTCTAAGAACATATTCTAGGATATTCAGTTTAGTGGGATTTACTTCTGAGTTTAGCATGTTTACAGTTGCTACAGGATCCCATCTGTCAAAATAAAGAAAGAAACGGTAGCAAGAATTTGGTAAATGGTGCTCTCAGTACTTCCTAGTGCAGTGGGTGCTCCCGTCTGTGCCCAGGCCTGGAAATAAGGATTGATTGTGGGAGAACAGAAAAGGCTTCTGCAGCCATTTTATGGTGCCTGATAAATCGTCCGTAAAAGATAAACGGACTTTTTTTTATCACTTCACAGAAATATTTTTTTGCTTTACCCTTTAAAATCAAGGGTTAAAATGCAGTCCCTTTTCTGGGAAGAAGGGTGTGTTGTTTTTTGTTTTAAAGGTGTCTTACTGGGTGGCAGTGGCCTACAGAAAGCAGCACAGTTCTCTCAGAGAAGATCCTATCAGCCCAGCGGCTCTCCCTTTTGCCTGCCTCATTCCTGAAGGGGGGGGGGTGGACGGAAGCCAGTCGGAAGATCATTCTGATCCAGCGGCACAAGTTCACAGCACTCTTGCTTTTAACGACTCCAGATCAAGGAAGTCAGGTTAAATATTGAACACGCTGATGGGGGTGGAGGAGGAGTGCTCTGGAAGGGAGCTGGAACCTGCAAAGGGCAGAGGTGCATTTGACCTCATTAATGGCAAAAAGGAAAGAAAGGAAAGCAGTGATTGAAAAGGAGCCCCACTGCAAGAAGCTGGATGTCTTCAACCTTGGGAGAGGGCTGGGAAATCATCTATAAACACATCCCTCCACTTGAGTGCCGCTGGATACCTGGAGAATGACAGTGAAGTCCCAGGCCCTTTGGGAAGGCGAAGCTGCCGCCACACTGGGCTTTCCGGCACTCCCTCCCATGCCACTCTCTCAAGGGAAAGAAAAGGGAGGGGGAGACTGATGGAGACTCCATTCCTTCCCTCCCCCCCCCCCAATCCTTGCCGGGCCCAACTGCACGTTTCCTGACCAGATCTGCATTCCCAAGCCCCACGCATCGCCCCCCCCCCGCCTTTGGCATCCATCCTCCCATTTCCTGTGGGCGAGCTGCAGGTCGTGAACATCTCCCGGTGGGTTCCAGGCTCCGACGCCACGGCTGGTTCCAGCCCCACGCAGCCCCATTCCCCCTTATCTGTGCTACGCCATAGGCAGAGAAGGCCCCAGCCAGATCCATTCCTCTCCTCCGCCCCCCCCCCTCCATGTTTGCAGCGCTCAGGTACAGCAAGACCTTGGCGCACCCAACCTGCGCAGTTCGAGTCCAGCCCAGACGGCAGCCCGGCTTATCTGGAAGTTCAAAGCCGGAGGAACAGAACCCCACAAGGGAGAGGGGAGGGGGGGTGAAAAGGTGGGGGAGACATTTTCTCAGAGAGAGAGAGAGAGAAGGGGGCGGCGGCAGTGCAGGATCGTTACACGAAATCGACTGTAAAGAGCAAAGGTCATGCGGGAAGGAGCCTGACCCTCGAGCGGCTCGCCTCTAAAAGTGCCCTATTATGGACAAGGCTCCAGGCTAACGAGACAGGCGGAAAGCGCCGCGAAAGCGGACAGATCGTCGATCAGGCTCCCGACCACAGATCCGAGTGTCAGTCCGGAGGCGCGTGAGGTTGAATCCACCGCTCTCCTAGCAAAGGGAACGAGATCCCCCTCACAGAGGGGTGAGGGGTGGGGACACTCCCCGGCCGCCGCCGAAGTGCCGCGCTAAGAATGTCAAAAACCCCAGCTGGGTCTGAACTGCCCGTCTGTGCTGCCCCGTCCTAAGGCCAAAAGGTCGGTCTCGAGGAGAGGGGCGCCAATGGAAACCCTGTCGCACGAGCGAACCCCCAAGCCAAATTGCCCACCGATCGTGAGCGGCACCCAAAACCGCTCTGGAAGCCCCTGACGTTTGTGGGGAACGATCCACGCATCCCCCACAGAAGGTCAGGGCAAGACATCCAGAAAGGGAGCCAGACGTTCCCCTTCTCCAAGAGGGGGCTTGGTTTTTCTTTCACCCCCCCTTTGTTGTATATTAACCAGAAAAATTAATTTCCCACTTACTTTAAATAATCCAGCCAAGATCATCTCTCAAAAGGCGAGTTAATCCTAAATCCGAGACAGATCACCAGCTATACCTGCAAGGGGGGCCGGGGATTGGCACGAAACAGCCCTCGTTTCTCTCAGCGAACGACCTACAAGTGCTGCGCTGTCAGCAGCAGCAGCCGTCGCTTCGCTTCGCTATTGCAACAACTTCTGCCTGGGAAAATGGCTATTTTATGAATGGGAGGGAAAGGGCTTCGTCTGCGCATGCTCGCCTTCGCGATTGTATGAATGGGTGGGCTCTGGAGTCGCAAAGCGCATGCTCCGCTCTCATTTATGAATGGGGGGCCGGAAGGGAACTTGTTGCAAGTTAAGGATGGATGTAGGCTTTTTTTTTTTAATGAATGAAAGGCGGCAGCTGCAGCCAGCTGCGCATGCACTGTACACCCCCAGCCTTGGGCTGAAGGTAAAACAAACTGCAGTAGGAGGGAGGGAGTGCCGGGCATGTACAGTGCAGAGAGAGAGAAAACCTGACGTGATGGAAGAATGTGGTTGATTTCTGATAGGGTAAACTCCTGGGGATGGCCGTGCTCGCTCATGCGGAGGGGGCAGAGTGCGCGGTGGCGCGTGCGGGAGAAGCCGCACGCGGGGGGGGGGGGGCTGAAGGCTGCCCGCCCCCCCCCCCCGAAAGCTGCTTCCGATCTCTGCCCGGGTGTTTCCCCTTGCAGCTGCTAGGCTCGATCTCCCTCGCCCCCCTCCCCACCTCTTCCTCTTTCCCGTAGGCTGGTGAGCACCGCGTCCAACCCTGACAGCTCGCAGCCCACTCGCTCTCTCTGTCGCTCTGCAGTCAGCCATAGCAAGGGACGATCAAGTGCGCTCTCGCCGATGCCTCGAGTTTTTGCCCTTTCAAGTGCAAAGCGGGCATTTTTGTCGTTGACTGTTGTAGATCCGAAGCTGCCAATTTCAAACGGGGTCCTGAAAAGGAGGGAAGGGAACTCACCCCCACCCCCCTCGAATGGATAAGGCTGTCTTAATTCTGCTGTCTGCCGTCTTAATTGTGGACTGTATATTTCTCATTGTATCTGAAGAAGTGAGCTCTGTCTCCGGAGAGTTCCTGTCGTTAGTCCGTAAGGGGCCACTGGACTTCCGGCTTGTTTCTCTACAATAGACTAACCTGGAGACCCCGCTGGAATTTCCCAAGGGTCACAATGACTCTGGGGACATTTGGAATTCTTTTGGCTTTGATGTCATGCTGTTTTTTCCTCCAGTAAAAACCCATCCTTCCTGTCCCTTGACACGCAGCAGAAATTCATTGTTTTCTGGCTTCGGGAGGAGGGTGCCTTTGGCTCACTGAGAGTGCTTGGTGGGAAAGGTACCCCTTCTACACGTTCACCAGCTGTCTGCCTTCCACAGCAGGGCAAGAGAGAAAATGGGTAGACCAAAGGGTAGACCAAAGGCAGGGCTTAATGGACTCAGCTCTGGAACGTGCTTCCAAAGCTAGGGCTCAGCCTGGGTCCTGAGCAGTGTTCCCTCTAAGCTTAGTGTGAGCTATCTCACAGGTTTTTAGCCTCCGGCTCACACATTTTTGTCTTAGCTCAGGAAGGATGGCTCCAGAGCAAACTAATTGAGGCAGTAGCCAAATCGGTCGCTCACAACTTTAACATCCGTAGCACACAAAGTAGGATTTTTGCTCACAAGACTCCACAGCTCAGAGGGAACATTGGTCCTGAGAGAAGAGTGCCTCTGAGCATATGTTGAGCATATGAGCAGTTTCCCAGTGGTGAGGTACAGGCAACTGGCCCTCATGAATTGGGCCTTAGGAGGATGACGCAGTCGTGGACAGGAATGGAGAGTGCCCCAGGAGAACGTTTCATGGCCACACATCAGTCACTGCTATAGCCTTATGGAAGTCCTGGCAAATTATGTCACCTGCTGTTTTCCCCCAAGGGAAAAGGGCTCCCAGATCAGACAGCCTGAGGCTTAATGAGCTTATGGCATTGGCTACTGGAAGCCTCCTAATACCCTGGGAAAGCTCTGTGACCATAGCCGTAATTCGTGACATGTCCCAGGGGCCAACAACCAGTGTAGTGCCAGACTAAGATTGGGAGGAAAGCCAAGTTCAGAAATCACCTACCTCACCGCATTGTTGTTAGGATGAAATGGAGGAAATGAAAATGGTACACGCTGCTGTGAACTCCTTTGGAGGGAGAGTGGGATAAAAATGTACTACATAAACGCAGCAGTTTAGCTTTATACTGGCTAATAAATCTTTAGACCGATGGAGTTTGTTTATTTGTGACATTTTTAGCCCAGCCATAAAGGACTCAAGGCTTCTGTGGATAGCTGGTAATGTCAGTCAAGGAGCTGACCTCCAGCTTGTCTTGTCTGGAGCTTTGCACTTCCCTATGCGATCTGGCTCTCAGCTGGAGGGTGGTGCTACATCCAACCTTGTAAATGGATACCCATCTGTCCCCGGCTCAAAGCACCTTTCTTTCTTGATGTACAGCACTTCCTGAGAAAACCAGCTTTTGATAATTATGAAGTTTCTATCTTTACCTTTCCATTGCTATGCTCAGGTGGTGGTGGTGGAGGAAAGTGCTGTCAAGTCACACAATGGTGACCCACTGACCCCCGAAGGGTTTTCCAAGGCTAGAGACGTTCAGAGGGGGCTTGCCATTTGCCTGCCTCCACGTCATGGCCCTGGTATTCCATGATGGTCTCCCATCCATTTACTAGCCAGGGCCAACCTTGCTTAGTTTCCAAGAACTGACGAGATCAGGCTAGCCGGGGCTATCCAGGTCAGGGCTTAGGCTCAGTTAAAGCAAAGGTAAAGGTTCCCTTGCTCGAAAGCCAGTCGAATCCGACTCTAGGGTTGTGGTGCTCATCTCTGTTTCAAAGCCGAAGAGCCAGCGATGTCCGAAGACGTTTCCGTGGTCATGTGGCCGGCATGACTAAACACCAAGGCGCACAGAACGCTGTTACCTTCCCACCGAAGTGGTACCTATTTATCTACTTGCAATTTCTTGCTTTCGAACTGCTAGGTTGGCAAGAGCTGGAACTAGAGACGGGAGCTCACTCCATCATGTGGCACCCGGGTCTTGAACTGCTGAACTACCGACCTCCCACAGCCTGCAGTTCAGCGTCTTAACCACTTGAGCCACCACAGCTCCTAGACTCAGTTACCATAATACAAAACAATGGTGGTTATCTTGCCATAGCTGTCCTGGTAACAGTCTGGCTAGATTGCTGTCATGGATGATAACTGGAGCTGCTTGCCTCTGGATACTTTTGGCTGGTTCAGAATGTAGCTGCCTGTGATGTGTCCAGGGTGCAGGTGGAAGGCACATGCTGGGGCTGTCTGGATTGGGGGACCTTCTGGGACCCCTTTTGGACTGATGTATGCCATTTATTCAAATTTCACGTTTGCTCAGAAGATGAATGAAATCTGTCTGCTGAATTGTAGGATCTAAGATGCAACAATATGGACTCCAGTTACTGTTTGGCTGTAGGCAGCTTGGCATAAAATAGAACAAAATCCAGCTCTTCAGAAATGTATAGAAGATTACAAGGGCTGTTCTGGCAGACAAGGACTATTCTGCTGCTATATAATAATGCCGATATCTATCTATTATTACTAGGAGTGAGGAAGGGAATACATTCCTACTCACCTCAAAAGAGCATACCGAAAGAGAAAAGTGTATTGTGTTATTTGCCAACAAAGTTCCTCAGACAGAGGGCTTTCAGTGTGTGTGTGAGAGCCCTTGGTTTTGCATTGAGATCCAAGCAAGAGGATTTTAACCATGCCCTCCAGTGTAACAATTTGTAGAACAAGAAAAAGCTGAATACCTAGGTTCTGAAAATAAAGTGACTGTAAAAGAAAGCAATCTGTGCAGAGTGTTAACTTCTACATTTGTGCAATCTTGAGGAAGGGCACAGAATGACAAATAAAGGTGAGATGACCCCTCCCCCCCAACCACTGGAAATCTTTCTAAGGCATCTTTGGAATCTTACACATGAACCCCCCCCCCTTTTTATTATATTACTTTTGGTATGATACACTGAAAGGGAATAAAGTATCCCCTCCCGGTATAATACATATCAGTAAAAAGCAACAAGACAAGCAAGATATGAATAACAATACACACACTCATAGTTCCAGGAGACAAACAGAATATAAATGGCATAAGAATGACTTCTAACACCTCTGCAACCAATGAGAGAATTAAATCTATTTACTCATCGTTCAATGAGTCAAGCAGAATGTAAATAGCATATCTGGTTTTGGGTGGGCGGTCCATCTCCAACCCAGATGACCTGGATCTGGAGCTTCAGGATGTAGCGGGCTGGCTTAGACTGAGCCAACTGAAACTGAATCCAATGAAGACGGAGGTCCTGTGCCTGAGTCGGAGCAGGTTGGGGGTAGGGATCCCACTACCGACCTTCGATGGGGTGCCACTGGTGCCAGCGCCGAGGGTCAGGAGCTTGGGAGTGCTCCTGGATGCCTCCTTAACAATGGAGGCCCAGGTAGCAGCCACTGCCAAGGCGGCCTTCTACCACCTACGGCTGATCAGGCAGCTGGTTCCCTTCCTTGAATGCAATGACCTTGCAACAGTGATCCACGCAATGGTCACCTCGAGATTAGACTACTGCAACGCTCTCTACATGGGGCTGCCCTTGTCCCAGATCTGGAGGCTGCGGCTAGTGCAGAATGCCACGGCCAGACTGTTGTTGGGTCTCTCTATACGGGACCACATCCAGCCTGTGCTGAGGACACTGCACTGGCTGCCTATAGCGTACCGGATTCGGTTCAAGGTGCTGGTGCTAACCTTTAAAGCCCTACATGGTCAGGGGCCTGCCTACTTGAGGGACCGCCTCTCCCCATATGTGCCCCAGAGAGCACTGCGGTCAGGGTTGCAACATCACCTGACCCTCCCTGGTCCGAAAGTAGCCAGGCTGAATGTCACCAGAACCAGGGCTTTCTCAGTGGTGGCCCCAACCTAGTGGAATGAGCTCCCGGAGAACATCAGGGCCCTGCTGGACCTTTTACAGTTCCGCAGAGCTTGTAAAACGGAGCTCTTCCACCAGGCTTTCGATTAGGGGCTGCCACTGATGAGTGTGTCCTGGAACATCATCTGGTCTGAAATTTTAGAACACCCTGGGGCCTGAGATTCTGCTGGACACTACCCC